TTTTTTTTTTTTTTTAATAGCTCTGGTAGTGCTCATCCGGTTCCTCCTTGCACAAAGGAGCCGATACTGGTCCTGCATCCCTCAGCAGGACCCTTTACATCCCTATCCAGCTCTCATAGACTAACTGCCTGTCTCCTGGAATCACACAGCAAATCTGGCACTGGCATGTCTTGATGTGCCATCCTGGAGGAACTGGACTACCTATACATCCTCTGTAGGGTGCATGTATTACATCATTCCACCAGTAGTGTCAATGACCACAGCTTAATGCAAAATTAGGGAAAACGGTCAGAAAATATGAGGGGAAAATGTCAGTGTCCTCCACCTGTAAAATGGAGCTACACTGAGTTTGCTTTTAGTTTTATGGTTGTACTCTGAGCTCTTCCATGATGCTTGGTGTATAGGGATGCATGGTCGCTCTGCAAGGTAGACATTACGTGCCAGTATAACACTTGATCATTAGTCTGTACAGTAACACAGTATGATCACCCAACATACAAAGACAATTATCAGACAATATATCCATGTGATGGTTGTAAGGAAAGCTTTTAATTAGCATGATTTCTGACCCAAATACACAGTCCAGCTGTAATTCATACAATGTATGCACACAGATGCCAAAAAAAGATATCACGCTGATGTATCAAAGACCAAATTAAAACATTTGTTGTTTAACTCTGAACCAACTAGGTATTGCGTAAAGCATTCTGTTGCACAACTTGAGGCAGATTCCAACACTGTTTTAAGTCATCATGCACTTTCCTATTTTTAATGGAAAACTTGTTGATGGAGCAGCAAACTCTAGTCACTAGCTACACTATGCATGCACCTTTTCGTTGTACGCAGTATATCATGCATACTGCAGTTTAACTGAGCCCTAGGGAGAGAAAATTATGACATCACAAGCTGATCTTTTGGGATGTCTTTGAAAAAGCATGACCAATAGTAAAGTAACACCCTCGCACATAAAAAAAACAAACAAAAAAACCCAACGAAAAGAGAAAATGTGGTTTGTGAATTTATGATGAATGAAAACGCAGGTTTTTCACCGACAGCCTGTTGAGCCGTTTCATCCTTCACACCTAGAGCTGCCAAACATCAGAGAGGGCTGCACTGCAAAGCATGATTAAAGCTTCGCAAGGTCAACTAAACCTGCTGAACATTTAACCTGCTCTAGAGCAGGTAATGTTTGAGATCAGCACTTCCTCTGTTATGTGAACGCACACATGGATAGATGGGAAACTGGGGGTAACTTCTGCAGTTGATAACCACCTTTGTGTGACTGCTTAGCCAGATTGTGGCGTCGCTTAGCCCAAGTTCAGAAAAGAACAGCTACTTTGTAGCACAGGCCACTGAAGTGATAGTGAGGACATGCAGATTCGTTCTTTGAACAAGAATTGTGTTTCAGTCTTGGACTGTATCAGTCCGCTCGTAGTTTATATATAGAGAAGGTGCATAGACATTCTGAACAGCTTCACGGACATTCTACAATATTAGTAACAGGAAGCCACAAACAATACTGATTAAAGTAGACCACATAGTAATCCTTCTCATGATAGAATCCTTATAAAAAACAAAAACTGAGGCACAGTGAAAAAAAAAAAAGACAATTAACAGATTAACGTCAGTAATGTTGAGTCAAAGGAAGAAGTTTTTTTATTAGCGACAGAACAGAAACTCTGACGCAGTAATCTGCTTAGCTTTGTCTTCTTAGACATTTCAACAGATTTAAGCAAGTGTCTTTGCCTCTGTTTACTTTTAAATACATTTAATGCATTTAGA